AACAACAGGTTTCATCCCTAGTACCTATGTGATGACTTTTTAGTTGTAGGTATACATTGAATTTAATTTAAGATCCATGTACGTAATTTCTACAGAATGAAGAATCACACAGATACTCGGGATTTCAGGGTTCCCCACCAGGGTGGATTTGAATCCACATACCCAGCTTTGACAGTCAGACCCCTTGGACAGCACGGGTTTGTCACAACATCAGAGACTTCTTGTATGATGGCTGGGTACAAGAAACTCCTGCAAATGTTTATAAACTTTCATTGCATTTAAGAAGACAGGGCAGGAGTTGCCAAGCAAAATGATTCCCCTCATGGTTACACATGGTAACTTTTTTTAGGAGAAGTGTTTTGGGGGTTTTTTCCTCCCACATTGATTGAGTTTTACTTGATTTTGTCAGTATTAGTTCACCTTTATTTGAACTGCTGGATAATTCATTTGTAGAAGAGGCAGTACATTTAGGTACTTCCATCTGTGTTTAAACAAGGCTCTTGTGCTTTCCCCACTAAAAAAAAAAGATTTTGTATTATAATGCTTGTGGTAGATGAGGTTCTGAATTTAACTCCTTCCTACTCTAGTTTCTCTTAACAACTCTGCGTTATCAGCACCTGGGGTTTCTAGTTTACTCTCTCTTTGCAAATATGAATTTGCAAGAAGGGGTTGATGGTAAGTAGCGTGGTTCTAATTTGCACTTGCGAAGTGTGTCAGACGGTTTCACCTAGTGCATGGCGAGCAGAGGAAAGCCTGTCTTCCTCTGAAAACAGCCCTTAGAGGATGTCAGAGCGTGTTTGACTGCGATAGTCACTTGCAAATGCAATATGGTTTTGAAATGAGCTGTCCAGGAGCTGCTGGAGGGCGGGATGCCTGTACTCCTGTGAATCCACTCTTTGTCTTCCTCCTTTTTCTTTCTCCTATTTCCATTTGTTTTCGTCCTTCAGGGCTGTCACTTCGATGTGCTTTTGGACGAGTCTACTCCATTGCACTGGTAGAAGTTCTGTGGACTCCTTTGGATGAAACATTTGTGACAGTCATCTGTTTTGCTGGGACCGTACCCAGTGATATAGGTAGCCCTTTCCACCTTTCTCTTCGTTACTCCCTCTCCATCTACCTGCCATCTTTATAGCCTCATCCATCCCTCCTATCCTCCTAGTGCCTTCCAGACATCTGTTAAAATCACTCTTCCCCGTGGTATCCGAGTACCCTTTTCTCATCCTTCCACACATGCCTGTCCTTAGAGCAGGAATCTTGTCCATAGTTCATGTGCATTTATAAAGTCTTTTCTTAATCCATTAATAATCTCAAGGTTTAAGCCTGGGGTGATATTTGAGTGCATGGCTGGACGTACAGGAGGCTGGACTGTGGCCACTCATCTCTCTCTCAGGCAAAAGGGCAGAGGATTTATGGTGATACCTCACCTGTGCCCTTGCTCAGGAGCTACAGCCAATGTTCCTCTTTGCGTCCCTGTAAATCATCAGTGCTCTAAAAGTGTTAAACTCCCTCTAACCTGTCCCATTTCTCTACTACACCACGTTAACTAGCTTTACACCCTCTTCCCCCCCCCCGCCCCGAAGCCCAGCTTTCATCACACGCTTGCCCAGCACCCTCAGAGGAATTCAGAATGAGTCACGCAGGGCGCCTCTGGGGACTCCTACTGATGCAAACTTCCTCCTCCTCAAGGCAGCCTGTGGTTTGGATGCCACAACGCAGCCGGTACTCATTAGCTTGGGCCTTTGCTGTGAAGTTGATGGCAGAGCTGGGTCTCTGGCCCAGGCGCCCCCGGTTTGCTGCCTTCCTTCACTGGGCTCCAGTGTGGGAGGGGAGACATCATCTTCGCAGCCAAAAGCAGGAGCTGCTCAGTGCCTTTCAGAGTGCCAGTCAATAGGCAGAGAAGGGTCTTCTGGAGGAAGGGGTTATTACTCGTTCTTAAGGTGTATTCCAATCCAGGCAGGAGACTGCCATCAACGCATTAAGTGAAGTGTTATGTGGATGTTTATATGTAAGATTAAAGTAATCCACTTCTTGGGATGGAATAGACTTCCATCGAAAGAGCTTTACTATTGGTTTGTCATCACCTGCTTCCAGGGTCTGCATTCAGAAGCATAAGATGTGATTAATAGGGCTCATTTATGTTGTTTTGGTTTGGGCTTTCCCCCTCCCTCCAATAGGCCGTTGTCTTTAAAACATTATCTACCTTCTCCCTCTTCACATGGAAAAAAAAAAATGCTTTTCTGGTGGTAATTACAGTGCCGTGTTGTGGACCTTTCATCCCATTACAGTAAGTGGACAAACTACTGTCATTTACAGGAATGAAATAGGTGAGGAAATGGGAAAGTTTCTAGCACTCCTGGGCATAAATGCCAAGCTGACATGGGAGAATAATTCCAACAGAAAGCATATTTTCTTGCTAGCAGTGAGCACTGGTGCACTTGTGCTCTGAAGCAGGGATGGAGGAATGCTTGCTCCTCCTCAGGTGTTTCAGAAATAGAAGAATCAGGCAATATTAATGGAGGGCTACAGACCCTTAACCTGTCTCTGCCCTTGCAGTTCAGCTGAGACACGCTTCAGCTCTTCCTTGCTCTCAGTTTCAAAATCTCTCCAGTCTGTCTATGTACTGCCTGGTCATGGATCTGTTGGCAAGGTCAGGGTTTGAATACATTGAGATATTTTTTTCTCCAGCAGAAATTTGCTGTTTTATTATTCACTACCTCTGCATACACACCTTTTACATCTCTCAAAACAGATTGATGCTCTTGTTTGCCTGTTCTTTTTTTTGTTTTTTTTTTCTTCTCATTTATGGTGATTCAAGTTTTACTCTCATGGGAGGTTTGCCCTGAAGGTGTGATTGCAGGAGTAAGGTCTTTGCCAGTGCATCAGCAAAAATGTATGTGTACATCAGTAAGGAAGAGCTACCAGTTGGGTAGTAGAGCTTCCTTATTCCTTTGGTAGACTTGCTTGTGGGCTGTGGACTAGAAGTTGAGCAGCTTGCTCCTATCTCCCTTTTCTTCATATGTGGTGGTTGCCAAATGATGGGGGCGGTGGGGTCTGCCTTTCTCCCACCTTCTATGGCAGGTGAGTTAGGTACCCTTGGAGGCCCAGAGCAATGGGTGTTTGAAGTTCCTCTCCAGCTGCTGGCTTGGATTGGTTTGGCAGCAATTTATTGCCGCCACCTGCTGACCAGGCAGAGGATTTCTCTGGCTGGAGAAGAGCTTGTGCGTGGGGTGTCTCCATGAGTCCCCACCGCTCTCTCCCCTGTCCAGCTGTCCCAGCAAGAAGGTGATGGGGCAGTAGGTAAAGGTCAGGGTGCCTGCATAAAGCAGGAACACCTGGGGACAAATACAAGGTTCGTCATTTAGGGAAAGGTGGCATGTGCCTTAGTGTGATCACAACCATCCATGAGGGCTGAGCTGGTCTGACTTTGGGCTGCTGTGAACTTGGAGGTTATCAAGCAGATCATGAGTGAGATCAAGCCCGGTGCAGGAAGTTTGGATGACATATAACCTCATGTAACTATGGTGTTAAAGTGCAACAGCAAAGAAATGCTGTCAGACTGCATGTCTTTGCTTTAATGCATCTCTGTATAGGAAGGCATGAAATTCAGGTTCTCTTTCAGAACAGAGGAAAATGGAGAGGCAAGAAATTTTACCTAATCCTGAACTCCAGAAATTCAAGTTTGCTCTTCTTTGATTTAATGAAAAGACTTAAGGGTGATCTTCAGTGTTCTTCAGAAATTATTTCACGTTGTTAGCTCTTTAACAAAGATATCCTTTCACACTGGTGTTTTTGGACGTGGGATTTAAATAAGAGGTGAGCTAGACAAACAAGTATATTGGGCAGAAGGCCCTATGATGCTTATTAGGACAGTGTCACTGCACTAAATCTTCATTTGGTGGCCAAATCACAGGAAGCGGCGGCACTTGCTGTGAACCTCTTCCCTGGCTGCCCAAGCACTGCTGTGCCCGGGGCGCTGGTGCAGGGTTACACGGCTCCGTGGTGGGAGCTGACTTCTGAAGTTCTCGGGAATCCTGGCCCGCTTTATGCCCTTTAATGAGCCATGTGTAACATTTGCCTTCTCTGGGGTCACTCCAGGCTTTCAACCAGCAGTGCTTAGGAGCAGAGCCAGGGACAGGGACACCTCCGTATTTTGCTTTGATCTAAGTAAATTCTTGCAGCTTGGGAGCTGCTTTTGGGCCATCCCATTCTGCTGCCTCCTGTGTTGCTAAAGGAGCCCCCGTGTTGGGGGCAGTACCCTACAAGTGCTCTAGAGACCCAAGGAATTTCATGTCTCTGTAGAGACTGGAATCTCATTTTCTGTCTTTTGCAAAACACTCTCATTTTCACAGGAACGCATGGGTTTTTCCCTAATTATTCTCCAGCGAATCTCCCTTTTTCTTGCATTTATCGCTTTTTAGTTTGTTTGTTTGTTTTGAGATGGAGGAGAAAACTCCAAGGAGAGACAAAACGGCGTGCGCGGCAGTTCTGCTCGGCTGCCACGGTGCCGTCCCTGTTCTGTCAGAGCAGGGAAAGGTTGCTATTACCATTTTATACCGTGTGGTCTCAGGTACAT